CCTTAGTGGAATGTTGTTATGGCAAGCAGCCTGATTTGCTATCATGCTATGATTAGGTTAACAGATCAAAAATACATAGATGTTTGTATGTTTATATCACCACATGGATTTGGCAGTCAGACGTCACCTAAACAATGAAAAAAGAGCTTTTTGTTTTCTTTTTCTATCTTTTCATTGAAGGCTGGGGCAGGACCTGTCACTATGCCAGTCAAGGAGAAGCCTGCTGTTTACCCTTAATGCTATTATTCAGGAGCTAGATGCCTCTGCTTTGTCACACACTCTGATTAAGAAGATTTGACATATTAATCTTACAAAAACATGTCACCGAAATTAAAAATAATAACAATAAAAACCTGGTAACATCCTTGTTTAAACTAAATAGTATTACATCTAAATTCAAAGCACACTGGCCTCAATGTACCCGTTTGAAGTTTGTCTTCAGCCAAGGTTTGCCAGGAAAAGGCGAGATGGATAAGGCTCAGCACAATTATTCTGTGCCTGGTTGCACACATGACAGCAAGGAAAGWGTAGTCTGATTGATGGCGAGCGATATGAGCTTGTGAAGTCCAGTAAGTGATCCATGGATGTGCTCCTGTGTTATTTATTACCAGGGCTCAGGACTTCTTGTCTCATTTAATGAAAAAAAAAAAATACGGTAATGCTCTTGCCTTTGACGTGAGCTCAGGAGCCGATGGGAACGGCATGTTCTCTTTTCAAGTAAATGTCTTGGACTGAATTTTAGAGTTTTAAAGACATTTTTTTCATTTACCAAGCTTCACAGCTTTTAAGTTGAATGTTCTAAACATTTTAAGACATAAAAAAGAGGAAAAATAAGCATGCAGCAAGACARAATGCAATTCCCATCAGTAAACCTATTGGAAAACTTCCTCATGTACGCTCTGCTGCTGTAACCTTTTCTACCTTCCTCTATGGTTACCTGCTTCACTTCTTGATAATTACAGTATTTTTCCTCCGGGTCAATAAGCATGTTTTGTTTGCCTTGTTGTTTTGTTGCTGTCTGAGTCATCTCTCCTAAATGCCATCCAGTTGTCTGACAGTGGCGACAAACYAGCCACAGATGCAGTTGCGATGTGCTTGGCTCAGTGGCTGATGAACATGGGCTGTGGCTTCTCTGTTCTCAACCACAGCACTTGTTACTGGTGCTTCTGGTGCAGAACAAAACGAGTAGCACCCCCACTGACCTGTGTGACAAGTAAAAGGAGAAACCACAGGAGATAGCAGCAGACTGAATGAGCTTTCAAAGGCAACATTACAACAAGTGAAACGAGTTAGACTTTTACTGCTATTGCTTGTGATCAATCTTTTGTTTGACCTAATTGTTTTTTTTCTTGTTTATTTTATCTTTTATTTATGCTTATTATCCCACATTTGGCCATGTGGAAGTAAACCCTGAGCTATTATCATCACAGCTTGAAATCCCTGACTGCACATCATGCCAGCAAAATCAACACGTTGCTTCACTATACACAAYGTTAAATTGCCTATTTTAGACCGTCGGTTCATTAAGAACAGCTAGGTGAAGTTCATAATGTTCTTCTTAACAGGAAATAAATGATGTCTGAGGCAGAATTGGTCATTTTGAAGGCAACAGATGCACAATAAATTTACCCAAATAAGATGTAAATTGATCACAATGGCAAACAAATTTATTAAGTGTGGGGAAAATCACGAGAGAGAAATTGACAACCATAAATACTGCAAGTTACTTTTTTGGTKACACAGTGATGTCACAAGGTTTTGAGTTTAAGAATCAGAGGAACCATAATATGATTTATTGACCAAGTATTTTTACATAGAAGAGGAACAGAACATAAAGAACATAAACAAGGAATAAAAAACAAAACTGCAAGGTTTAAAAAAATGTAAGATACAAGGTGTATTAAAATAGAACATTCTGATGAGACTATTGATTAAGTAAGCTTAATGTAAAATAGCTTAGAACTGAAGCTATGGACTATTAGTGCAAAATAAAAWAAWAAAAAACAGCAAGTAAACATTCTTCCAGATGAAAAATGTTTTGTGTATAATAATATAATTGCAGTCCAAAAATTGCATTAGTGTAATGCATAATGTCCAAATGTTAATGTGTAATGGAAGTTGAATCAGTGGGGGTTCCTGGACTTGATGAGACCAATTGCAGAGGGAAAGAAACTGTTCATGTGGTGGAAGGTTTTGGTCCTGATGGACTGCAATCTCACACAGACTCCAATGGGAAGGGGGGGCGGGGGGTCTGCACAGCTGATAAACTTAAAGCAAACAATTAACTTTGAAGGAAAATAAATGCAAACTGAACTCCAAGTCACAGAATTGCTACAAACAGATGGACATGACTGTAAAATATGGTATCAATTTTACTGAGATGCAAAAATGACCAATGTGCAACACAAAGYACTTTTAAAGAGAATCAGCATTACCATAATTGACACGAAACAACAAAAATTACAAACGAAATGACAGCTGGGAGACACGGAATGAACCTAACGAGACAAAATGACCAAGATGAAACAAAACTACAAAGGCACATTAAATGACCAAATGAGTCAATRCAATTTAAAATATCTTCAAAATTAATGTTGAAACAAAATACACCATTACAACACAGTAAATGTTCAACGGACAACACCAGAGAAGAAAACAARTTCTCCCTTTGGATGACAGAACAAATAGTAATAATCAGCTCTTCTATGAAATGCTCCTCACTGCCCTCTCCGCATTGTTTGGTCCTTTCAGAATGCCTATGCCAGCTATGACTTCAGCAGCAATGACCCGTTCCCATTTCCACGGTACACTGATGACTGGTTCAACAGGTAATGCTCACCKGGGCAACCCCTGTTTATGGTGTATRTACATGTTGTGTTTTATTTGTGTGCTTATGTGTGCAGTCTGGTAGCTTTGTCTATTGATTTTCTCTCCACATACTTCCATTAAGACGAAATGGTGCTGTATAAACAGTGGGGTTGTCCAGCCCAAGACAAAAAAACCCATCCACAATGTCTATTTTTAAACAGACAATTGGTGCAGATAACTCACATAAAAGAGGACCATCACTGGTCTCGTTCCCTCTCAGGGATTATACATAGTGATGACCTTCTGTCTGATAAAGCCTTATCAGCCTCCTGGCTCATGTGATCCACTGGCTCTACAGGGGGGAGTAGACAATGATAATTACAAATCTATTCTTACGACTCTTTCACAAAACACCTCAAGCCGGGACTTAGATAACTTCTGGTTGCCTCAATGTGTTTTCTGAGTGGACCAAGCCAGCAAGGGGGGTCGAAATCAACCCACTCGTGATGAGTCTTTGTGTCACAAAGCGAGGTAGTAACTGAGCTGTAATGGTCCACATGTGTAAACCACAAAGAGGATTGTTTTTGTCATGGATAGAAAAAAATATGCCGGATACATTTGCCACACATTTCATGGGCTCTAATATGTCAACCCAGCTGAGTTTGGCTCCATGTGTCTTTTGGTTCAGTAATGCTTGCCATGTGGGACATGGCTGACTTCCTCTGTGACTTATGAACAGCCAGAGGCAGCATAAAGACTGTCTGGTGTTTGCAGTCATGTTATGGAACTATTTTGTGAAAGTGAATTTTTCTTCTCTGCCTTCACCTTCCCCTGATTGTGTGTGTGTGTGTGTGTGTGTGTGTGTGTGTGTGTGTGTGTGTGTGTGTGTGTGTGTGTGTGTGTGTGTGTGTGTGTGTGTGTGTG